CGGTGGGATGGTGGTACAGGCCGATGCACAGTGAAAGTCAAGTAGATTATAATATTGAGGTCAGTCACAGGGTATTGCTGGCTCAGGGCAGCCCTTATTGTCTGAGGGGGCATTTCCTATTCCTTCAGGGGATGCTTTGCCCATGGGGTCTTTTGTCTGAGTTAAGAGATAAGCTGGAAAGAAGAACGCGATCAGTTAGAAAGAACAGGCTGAAATCAAAATGGAGGCCATAGAAGTCCTCTTTCAAAATCTTGATTGGGTCATTTATTGTCTGAACCCTCCTGTAAATAATGTTGGGAGACTTATAAATAAGTCTTTGTTTTCATCCGACTCATCTTTTTTTTTTTTTTTTTTTTTTTTTTATAGTTTATTGTCAAATTAGTTTCCACATAACACCCAGTGCTCATCCCCACGAGTGCCCTCCGCCATGCCCCTCCCCCCTCCCCCCTCCATCCATCAGTTCTCAGTTTTCGACTCATCTTGTGGTACAAGTGCAGATGCTAGAATTGGAAAAATCCCACTTCCACTATTTGATAGTTGGGTGGCCTTGGGCCTGCTATTTGATTCTGATCCTCATTTGCCTCAATATATAAATGGAGATAAGGGCACTTGGTTGGCTCAGTGGGTGGAGCATATTGACACTTGATCTCAGGATTGTAAGTTCAAGCCCCACATTGGGTGTACAGATTACTCAGATAAAATGGGGTCTACTCTTAAGAATGTTGAGATGTTGTAAATGAGATAATGTGGGTCAAGTCTTAACGCAATGCTTGGCACATTGTAGCTAGTGTTTATTACTAAATGGAATTTCTGGGCCCACGTTATGGAATTAATGCCACATGGCCAAACTGCTTTCTGGAAACATGAGCAATTCATACATAAATATAGCATATGGCACCTTCCGTGGCATCTTCTCCAGTAAGGGGTTTGGTCATTCTTTAATCTTTGCCCAATGTGCCTTACAAAGAGTATGTGGGCCCTGGTCAAACCCATCTTGAAGTTCAACCACAGATCCATCTTTCTTCTCACAGTCTAGGCACCAGCATGGAACCCCACCTCCATCACCCCTCCTGGGCTGCAGAGGATGGAGCTAAGCCATATGGCATGAAATACAAGGTCACAGCAGTGAAGTATGAGGGTGTCAACACAGAAGTTTCAGAAGCTGCCTTCCACATTCAGCTGAATGAAGAAATAGGGGACTAAGGCAGCAAAGAATAGCCCCTAACACGGTTCTTCCTATCTGCTTTCACCCTCATCCCCACCCAACACACAATCATGGAAAGTGAAAGCACAAAGGGTGTCTGGTGATCAACTTGCTCCAGAAGAGGCCCAGAGAGGTCAAGTAGCTTGCCTGAGGTCACACAGCTGGCAAGTGCCATTGAAAGTATCAAGGCAACAAGGAATCCAAGGTTTTCCTCACAGCCAGCAAATCCTGGGTACGACCCCACTGGTGTGTCCTCTTAGCCCCATTCACAACTTCACCAGGAACATCAGGGTGGATGATGATGGGGTGGGAGGCAGACATGCTTGCAGGGGCTCTGAAAGCCCAAATCCATAGCCTGTGCAGACGTCAGTTGTGAGAAGACACTGAATCATCTCAGCAGGTGCGGTTCAGCATGTGCCAGAAGGGCCCCTGTGGTCCAGCTGGGGGCTCCAGGGAGGCCTTTCCTCCACTTCCTCTTTCCTGTATCATAGCCCTAGTTTTTATTCTTCCTGACATACAGAAGTCCCCCACAAAGAGCCAGTTACTTGGACATCTTGTTTAATCAAGAAGTGGGGAAAGGATAAGCTTACAAAGCACCACGGCAAACCGGAAGTCATTGTTATAACAGTTTTATTCAAGTCTGTGTGTGCTCTGGTGGTGGGACCAGGCTGAATCGGCATTACACTGTAATACGATAAGAGGTTTAGCCATTGAACCAAGCCTGCTTGGCATCCCTAGTTAACAATTTACAGTACCTTGAAAAAAAAAAAAGCCAAAGAAAAGAACCTGGTTAAGTTTCCTTCAGGACTTTTCTATTTTTAAATATTGTTGACGAGTTACAATAACTTAAATCTCAAAGCAAACTGGGAATTCAAGGACACAGGGTTAGGACATACGGACAAGACACTGGAACAGGGAAGGCCCAGGGATGAAAACTAGTAGCTACTTACAGAGAAACAAAACAAACACGTATGTGAACTTTCACTTCACCTAGACTCAAAGGCTCGAACGGGAAGAAAAATCCCAAAGAAACTTTACCGCAAACTAAGTAAAACCCATCTCCAACTTCTTTCCTTAATCCTCTAGAAGACAGTCTAAATCTGTATGTGAGCATGTGAGTATGCGAGTGTGTGAATGCGTGAGCGTGTGTGTTTAGGATGGATAGCGAGGAAAATCGGAGAGGAAAGTTGACAAGTTCATCATCTCCCTTCTTCGCTATAGCTGGGTACCTAGGGCATGTAGCTCAACACAATGGCTCTTCTCAGTTTCTAGCTGCAGTCGGGAGCTAACGCCCCAAAGCAAGGCTACAGGCAGAGGATGCAGGGAACCACAGGCAGTAAGAATCAGGAAGACCGGTCCTACTGGCTTGCAGGTTAAGGAAAGAGCCCAACCTTCAGAACAACAAATGCCAGGGCTCCCTGAGCTGTCTAGGGAGGCCAGGGTGCTGCCAGTACCCAAGACTGGAAATGAACCAAGGGGGAGAGCTGTCAATGCCTCATGAGGACAAACGGGAAAGGGCCGACAGTCTGAGATGATGATGAGAGGTTCACCTGACCTGCACAGCCAACTGGAAGCTTAGAGCTGGGTCAGGCTAGTTAGGCACCTAAATGCTATTAATTAGCCTTAATTAGCCAGGACTCCAGTTTCTGCCTCCAAACACCAGTGCATGGAGATGCCAAGTGTCCAGTGGCAAGGCTGGGAAGGTGCCAGGGACCAAGGACTCCCAGAAGCAGCCGGGGTTCTCCTTTCTGATATGGATTTTTACGAATTTGAAACTCCCGATCTAAGAAAGCAATGATTTGTCTGAAAGAAGAGAGCATTTGGGACCATGTTGCTAAGGATAAATGTAGCTTGACAAGAAGGCATCCTCAGGCCTGAGGCCAAGGAGAGAGGCAGTGGCCTAGTAGGTTGAACCATTGGAAATTGCCGATATTTGGCTGGTTTTGACCTACAACCCCCCCCCCCACCCCAACCTTTTTCTCTACAAAGGGAAGCAAACGAGCAAGGTGAGGCTTATCAGTGCTGGACCCCGGGTTCCAGGACCATACATTTTAAAGTTAAAGGGCTTAGTGCTTCACAAAGGGAGGGCAAACTCATCCTCAGTTGTTGGGCTCAGAGGTCCAGAGAGGAGAGGACATATTTGCAACTTCACACACTAGTGTGTGGGCAGCTCGGGTCACTGTTTTCCTGCCACTCCTGCCACCATGGTCATTCGTGATCACAACGCGCTGTGGGCTGCTCTCACCCCTGACCCGGGGCCAGTCTGTGGCAGATCCTTCAGGAAAAGCCCAGCACTACCACAAGGGCAACACCCGCCTCTTCTCCATCCTTCAAGAGGCAATGGAGTGTTTCCAACCAGCCTGAAGCGGGGGTGGGGGTGGGGTCCTCACATACCTGAGTCAAAAGCACAGGCTTAATTAAACACAAGAGGAAAAGGTCAAGGCTCCCCGAAGCGTAACCATTCACAGCCGTCCAGCCTTTCAGAGTCTGCTGTTCCCTGCTTTTGTTAAAAGCAAGCTTGAAGAGTTTGCGATGCTCAGGAGGGGTCTCCCTCCTTGTGGGGGCCAGAGGGAGGAGGGGGCCTCCAATGTGGGGACTGAGGAACCCAAGCGTTGACAAGCCACGCCTAGATGCCCATGGGGTGTCCTGTTGTGTCCCTGAGCAACTGTGGTCTGAGGGGAAAGGGGCCTTGTAAAGAACCTCACACCAGGACATGTGTCCCAAGGGCCAGCAGACCTTCTCGCAAAGATTCTTCCAGGAATTAAATGGCCTCATTCCAGTCTTGAAAAAACCAGACTCTGAGAATGACTCCTAAAAACTCTAAGACCCCAAACTGTCATTCTGATGCTGGCTCCGGCCTCCCGGTCTCCTATTACCTCCTTCCTAAGACACTAATGGTGGGAAAGACCCGCCTGATGAGTTAAGTGGGGGAATCAGAAAGGCTGTTTGTAAACATCAGGTGCTACATAAATGCAGAAAACCATGTACCTGACTATGGCCCCCATTAGTCATTCTAAGCCAACTCCAAGTTACTACTCTTTCAGAAACTAAAGGAAGAAACAGTAGGCAAGTCCCTTAGAGGCAAAGTGTGGCGAGGGCACACTGTTAATGTCAGCAATTCGTCCTAATGGCTGGCTGGGAGCTGCAGGCTTCACCGACCTGCTCTGATACATGTTCTCATTGCCCTTGATGGGGAACCAGGTAATGGTTGCTTTCACAGGACGGGAATTTGAGAGTGGCTAAAAGAGGAGCCAGAGAGCAAAACAGTGGGAGACAGCCAGCCACCTTGTTCAGGCCTCAGAGCTTGGTGCCCGACTCTGTGACCAGTCCACGCTGCTTGTAAATTTCTCTTCCCCTGAATTTCTTCCTTTTGAAGCCTTTCCTCTTCTCTACCAGCAAGTATATTAGAAGGGAAATGTGCAATTTTGTAAAGGCCAGGAGGAAAGGTTAGCACTATTCTGAGTCGACAAACAGAAGACCTCATCACCATCACCGTCGTCATTACTACCAGACCCTTGGGATACTAAAGGATGTGAAGTGAAGAACATCCACCAAGCCTCTTAGAAATAATATGAGGATAATGGGGACATCCACTCAGCCCCTGGCAGGGGCCTGGATCCCCAAGGGGGGTTAACAGAGGATAATCCTGTTTAGAATCAGTGGAAGGAGGGGTGCCTGGGTGGCTCAATCGGTTGAGTGTCAGACTTCAGCTCGGGTCATGATCTCATGGCTCATGGGTTCAGGACCCACATCGGGCTCTGTGCAGACAGCTCAGAGCTTGGAGCCTGCTTCCAATTCTGTCTCCCTCTCTCTACTCCTCCCCCACTCTCGAAAATAAATAAACATTAAAAAAAAAAAAAAAAAGAATCGGTGGGAGGAGATGAGGGATCCGAGCAGAAAGGGCAGAGAGCAGTATCTGTTTCCTATCACCATCTTCTGGGTAATGAGAACCTACCAAGAACAGAGGAAAAGAGTCTTTGAGGAAAGAAATGGAAAGAGTAAAAAGGGATTCTGGCTACTGCCAATGCGGGGGCTCAATCCCAGCTTCAAGGCCTGTTCCTGACCATGATCATAGAGACAAGGGAGCCTAAGTGGACAAAAAGCAACTCAAACTCTATATCCCACCAAGCCTCACCCCAGAGAGAGAGAGAGTGGCAGCAGGGGCCCATCAGAGATGGGTTACAGAGGGGCTGAGAGAACCCTTCCGTGCTGACGCAGGCTCACAACGCAGCCTCCAACTAATCCCGCTTCTGCCTCTGACAGGTGCGATTCTCCCGTTAGCAGACCCAGCCTTTCTTTGTCTTTTCTCTGGGTGGAGGAGTAAGAAACGGGCTCAACCTCTTACTCAATGGCAAGTGGCCACCATTCAGTACACACCACATCAGTTATACTCCCACTGCCCCCAAAGATGGCTGCAACCTAACGAAATAACAAAAAGCAGAAGACGGTCAATAGCCTCATAGAGCAGAGCACTGTCTAGAGCCAGCATGGTTTGGATTATGGTATGTGCAGCACCCCCAAAAGGGCCACTTAGTGGAGCCAAGGGTTTAAAGACACATTAGAGACTTAGGAACTGAAGCTATGGAGAGTCAAGGGAAGGGCCCAGAACATGCCATCTGCATGTTCATCCAATCAAGAATGAAGAGGAGTCACTTGGTTGGCTGGAACTGTTAATAGGATTCACATTTCCCCCCCTCTAGCCAAGGGGTGAGGGGATGGAGGAAACCCCCCCCCCCCCCCACAAAACCTCTTACAGTCTTCACTGAAAGGAGAGAAGGAGAGAGATGAGACACAATACTGGGCAACAAAACCGAGCACCTTCCACCCAAGATGAGGGGGGGTCCTTGAACCAAAGTGCCAGTGAGCTCATAAAACATGGAGCCATTCAAAGACCAAGGTCACCCCTTACTTCATTCCTGGGTTGGGACTTTATCATAGTGACAGAGACAGAGCGGTGACCAAACTCATCGGTGTCAGTGTCACTGCTCTCCTCCGGCGGGCAGGCGGGCCGCAAACGCAGGGAGCCTACGGGCTGTCCGCCTGCGTCTCCAAGGAAAGATTCTGTGACGAAAGACAGGGAGGCAACACTGGAAGGTCTGGAGGGGAAAGGGGCGTGACCTGAGGCTCTGCTCCCAATCAAGTTCACATGCGTGTCCTGCACAAAGACAACCGATCACACTTGACCCAGGAGGCTTGGGGTAAGAGGAATGGTGAAGGTACATAGGAGGAAGCTTCACAAGCAGATTCAAGTTAAGGAAACTGATTCCAGATAAGTCAGGGGTGGCCTCTGCTCTCCATCCTACCCAGCTCAGGGTTCAGAGCCTAGCATTAGGGGCCACCTGTGCCCAGAGACACATGCCCTTGGTCAGTCTGCAGTGCCTGGGGCTCAACACTGACTAGATCAGTGGCTCTCCAAGCACCTTACAAACATCATCACCTCACCATATCCATGTGCGGAAGGTACCACTAATGGCTTTGTTTAACTTCAAGGGCTTCCCAGAATGGATGGCATGGCTGAGAAGAAATCCCACAGCTCCAACCCCCAATGTCCAGGACCCTATCACTACCCCCACCACCAATATGCTATTTTGGTGCAATGCAGAGAGATCTACCCACCAAACGCATAATCCACCAGCTCTGGGGACGGGAGGAAAGATCCAGGGAAGGGCAGAACACACAAGGATCAGAACATAATGGACAAACACAGGAACTTTGTCTCTGGCTTCAGAACTGGCACCAGTGAGTGGGCCTCCCAAGAAACTCTCCCTGGGATGAGCGTGTGTGTATCAGAAACTGGTCTGGCCACGTCCAGACCCCGGGTAGGAGACAGATGCCATCAACGGGCGCTGGTTTCTGCCTTTATTTGTGTGTTTCCAAAAGGAGCAAGGACAGACTCTTACCCTCTTTGCTGCCACTCGACTCTGCTTTTCCTAATTCTCTCTCCTCTCCCCAGGTCCCCTTACCCCTATGAGGCTCAAATAAATAAGCGGGCCACCAGGAAGGGCAGGCAGGTAAGTCCCAGGTCCCTCAACTCCTACGTCCCACACTGGGGCACCTTGCCTTCAGTCCTCCAGCTGGCACGTAAGGGCTTGACACAGAAAAGCTTGTGTCTCACACCAAATGAGATTCTGATTCATGGGTGTTGGGGAAGAACGTGGAAGAGGGGCAAAATCAACCACAGAACATCCAATACTGGCGTTTGGGAAGGCTGAACTCAGGGCTAACAAAAGGACTCTGGGACAGGCTCCGGGCTTACCCAGGCAGCTGAGGAGAGGTAGCAGCAGACAGATTTGGCTGAGTGACCCTGCAGAGTCACCCTAAAGGCGAGGAAGACTGTGGAGGGTGGGGGACATGCACGCACCCCTTCCTCCCCTACACAGCCAGAGCTGGTGGCCACAGCCCCTTCCAGTGGACGTGGGTAGAAAGGCCCTACAGGGCAGGGGACCCTCTGATGGCCCTGCTTCCATCCCTTCCACCTTCAAAGTGCATTATCAGTGCAAGAAGTAGGGCTGGATTTCAGGGGGTCCAACTCTGAGAAAGGGCTGTGCCAGCCAGCTCCCCCCATCTCCTCCTGCTTCCCCCTTGGCCGCCCCCAACCCTTTCGGTGTTAAGACCAGAACTCCTGCTGAATCTCATAAGGGGCAGGCCTGTGTGTGTTCAGTTCGGCTCTGCACAGCGGCACGGTGCTGTCCTGACTCTGGCCCTCCGCGTCCAGGTCCAGAAGCGTCCGCTCGGCAGGGGGCAGCGGCCCCGCTTGGAACGGGAGCAGGGCCGGGAGTCCGGGCCGCTCCTCCACGGTGCTGCTGCTGCTAGCAAAGCAGGAGTCCAGGTTGCTGGGCGTCTCCGTGCTGGAGCTGTTGGCCGGGGAGGCGCTACGGGCGTGGCTGGGGGACACAAACCACCAAGGGTCCAGCCGTTGCCGGTTGGCGGAAGGACGCGGCCGGGGCAGAAACTCCAGGGTCTTGGGCCTCTCCAGGGTGGAATCCTGCTGTGTGTTCCAGCGCCTTGGGGTCGGGGGTAAGACCACATTGGGGTCGGGGAGACGGGGGAATTCGCCTGGGTCTCGGCTGGGGCTGGGGGTTTTCAACATTCCTGGTCAAAGAGAAAGAGGGAGAGGCATCAGGTGACGGCGCCGCATTTCTAGGCCAGATAGACACGGCGGGGGGGGGGGGGGGCCCCCTCCCTACACCTGCCACCTCCCTGTTCACCTGGAATAACATGAGCAACAAATACTTAATCGGCACCTACTATGTGCAGTGGAGCGTGCTGAGAAGCACTGGGGACACAATAGTNAATTCGCCTGGGTCTCGGCTGGGGCTGGGGGTTTTCAACATTCCTGGTCAAAGAGAAAGAGGGAGAGGCATCAGGTGACGGCGCCGCATTTCTAGGGGGGGGGGGGGGGGGGCTCCCTCCCTACACCTGCCACGTCCCTGTTCACCTGGAATAACATGAGCAACAAATACTTAATCGGCACCTACTATGTGCAGTGGAGCGTGCTGAGAAGCACTGGGGACACAATAGTGAACGAGAAGGCCACGATCACTGTATCTGATAATAAAATACTAATGGGACACATGGGGCTCACATCTGCAATGAAAAAACTACCATCCACTGGGCCACCCTGTGGTCTGCAAATAAAGTTTTATTGTAACACAGCCACACCTACTGCTTGCTCTCCCACTACAGCAGCAGCGTTGAGTAATTATAAGAGACCACATGACCCCCAAAGCCTAAAATATTTACTATCTGGCCCTTTGCCAAGAAAGCTCACTGACCCCTGACTCAAGGAAGCATCTTTGGATTCCCTGTTCATCCGTTTAATAAACATGTGAGGCAAGAACACATCGAGGTCTCGAAAATCTGAAGACGAGTAGTAAGGTCTCCTCCCAAAGAGGACATATACCTGAGTACAACAAAAAATCTGAAGAGGGGCGGGGTGAGCTGTAAGGGAAAATACAATTGTCATTTACACTCAAATCTCACTGAAATCTCAGCTGCCATCTCCTCTCCTGCTGGGTGAGAGGGGTCTCAAAGCCAGACTTCAGTCTTCTAGGAAGCAAGTGGCAGTGGCGAGGAAAGACTGGGGATGCGTACGCTCAGGGGCTCCGCGCCAGACAGGTAAGGCGAGCTCACGCACAGGCACAGCAATGTATCTGGATTCCTTGCCACGTCTGAGGAGTCAGGCATGAGCAAGGGATGAGTGATACGGGCCAGGATGCACGGGAGGAAGCTAGCCCGTGAGCAGGTCTGTGCTAACGCTGCCGTGTCAGGCAGGAGCCCAACTACATGCCACCAAACAGCCCTCCTGCGTGAGTGCAGCATTCCTTCCGGTAACTTCTGTCTCCACTTCAGGGAATGAGTGCAGCTTGGCTCCTGCCCCTCCTACGCCCTGGAAGTACTGCACTGTGTGCTCCAAGACCCAGGGCCTGAACATCCCACAGGAGCCCCGGGTTCGATTCTTCCCAGAACCTGTGGTCTTCCTTCACTCCTCGGGGAGGACCCGCTCAGGCACAGGACAGAGAGAAATCAGTCGGCCTGGCCGTCTCTCCAACCCCAGGGCAGCACGTCCTGGTGGGCTGAGCCGGAGGAGGAGCTGCCATTCACTCCAACTGTTGCCACTCCCGGGGGGCACAAGGGAAGAGAAAAGGAGGACAGGACTCACCTGCTCCGGGGCTGGGGCCCAGGCCACTGCTGGAGGGGCTCCTGCTGGCCAGGAGAGCCGCTGGCTTGAGGGCCCCGTCAGAAGGGGTCCGCCGGTGACCGCTGGGCTGCGTGGGGGCCGTAAGGGTGACATGGGTAGGAGTCAGGGATTGGTTAGGGTCTCGCTTGAAGCGTTCCACTCGGACGTTGACCAGGGGGTTGTGGGTGCAAGGGGTCAGGGGTGGGGCCTCGACCGGACTGACGGGCATCTCGTACACCACGATCTCGTCGCTGTCGGAACGCAGCAGGGAGCGGGTGGAGTTGCACTCGGAGATGGAGGAGAGAGAGAGCAGCGTGAGGGAGGCAGAGGGGTCTCCTAGCAACAGCATGGGCTCCTCCTTCTTGAAGAGCTTCCGGGATGGGGGGCTGGTGCTCCGACGAGGCCGGCTGGCCCTCTGGAAAAGACCCTCACGCCTCTTCTTCTCCTCCCGGGCTGGTGGCTCAGGCTCCTCCGGGGGAAGCAGCTGGCACTTGCCAGCTTCTAGCAGGTCAAAGCCGAGGCCTGTGGCCGCGAGAACAGCCCCACAGCCAAGCAGAGCCACCTCACAACGGCGGTGGTTGGTGCCACCCCGCTTGAGGCTGTTGGTCGGCGTCAGCTGAGGGGTACTGGTGGCTGAATTGACCGGGGTGGGCTCCTCGTGGACTCCATCACTGGAGGGGCCCTCCCCATCCTCTCCGCGAGGGAACGGGATACAGAGGTAGGACTGGTTGGGTGAATGCTGTAGACGACTCTCCCCACTCCTGGGGCCTTCGCTGTCCTCATCCTCTGGAGATGAGAGAAATGGCACGGTGTGGGGGACAGGAAATGGGAATGAGGCAGCAAGAGTAAGAATCTCATCCTTCTCCCCAGCCTGGGCCTCCTGGTGGATCATCAGGAGGGCGAGGGTCAAATAGCCTCACAGGCGGGATAAGGAACCGGGCATTGAACCACAGGGCTTTACCCCTCCACATGCAACTGTGGCCAAGATGAGGTGATCACTCTCCATTCCAGAGCCTATTTTGCTGCGTTCAGACAAAGGAAATCTGCTAATTTTCTACTCCTTTTGTTGAGACCGTCAACACAAGAGGTACAGTGTGTGAGTTTCCGAGAATAGTGGCTAGAATGGAAACATCCCTCATTTTTTGCACCTTAGAATTAGAAGGGCCCTTGAATTTCTACAACGATGGCCTAGAGGCTGGTCTTAAGCCCAGTGTCCTGCAATGGACTGGAATCCTCTACATGGGTGAAGGCCCATCTACTCTGTAGACTGACCTCCTAAGACCTTGGAAATCTTCAGAGAGAAGAGAACGTACTATCTGAGAGAGCGAGCCCGGAGAAGGCCGTACCCATTCAGCAATCACAGGCAACGGAAAAGTTTCCTTAGAGAAAGACCACAGCGTCTTCTACCCCCATCTCCTGTTTTGCAGATTCCCCACATTAAAATACATAGGAAACAGACCCAGCAGTCGGAAGTGCCTGATTCAAGACCTCAGCCTCTGCACTGCCCTAAGGAGACGGTAACTGGCGCCCTGGGATAGGAGGCCAAGGGCAGGCTCTACGGCAGCAGTAGGAACAAACCGTGATTTAGGTAGGGTTGATGCAATGGGAGTAGAGCGAAGAAGAGGGAAGAGGGTGAGGGCCCTGGAGCTGGGTAGAAGAGAAGACAGTCCCCATGAAGTGGTGCTAGAGGTCCTCAAAGTCCCAGAAGCTTGGCCAAAAGTTCCCTGCGGGAACAGGCACAGTCGGGACAAGGGCCATGCTTACCCATCTCCATAAGGCTGGTGAACCCTGGCAGGGCTGGGCTACTCCTCGGGCCCTTCCCCAGGTTGGGGGCACTGGACGACCACTGTTTATATCCATCTACCAGGGACTTGAGGCTAAATAGGAGGAAACGGGGGAGCTGTTAGAACTGGTGACTTCCCTTACTCCACCCTCACCTCCATGGGCCCATGGAACTGTCTCTCTCTGCGTACTTCATTCCACCAAAGCCCAAGAGCCTCAAGGTAGCGAACATTACTGGGTCCCCTCGTGTCACAAACAGAAGTGTACATGCTCTAGGGAAAGAAAAGCAGGGCCGTGAATCCACCCCTTCAACATGCTGCTACGGAGCTGTGGAAGGATCTAGCCAGCGGGCCGGCAAGAAGACAGAAAGGAGGAGGCCTGCCCAGCACTGGCCAGGGGCTTGCCTGAGCCCACCTCAAAGCAGAGATGATCACTCCAGGACACTGTGTACAGCACACTGCTGGCATCAGAGACACTGCAATCCGAAGCCTTGTGATCCCAGGCGAGCCCTGGGCAGATGAGCTAGCAGGGGTGGGCCATTTCTCAACTTCTCCTTCCCAGCTCACAGCATGCTTAGGCAACTTTCCAAGCCATCCACTTTTCAAAAACAAAACCAGCCAACAAAGCTGCACCAACCCAGTGCACTTTGGGACAGACCTATGTGGGTAGTGCATAATGCTGCCCTCGAGCCCCTCCCTGGTTTGTCTGGGAATGAAGAGGAAAAGGGCAGGAGCTTGCTTTCGAGTCCTTGTGATGAGCTCACACCTGCAAGCCAGTAACTCTGAGGATCCTGACTGGGCACCCCATCAACCCCTTTACGATGGGGGAATCAGAGGCCCAGAGGCACTGGTCTTCTCTCTAATGGACAATGAAGAGGGGAGGCTGAGGAATCTTTGGGCTCTGGTTGCCTTGGACATCCCAGGATTATAACCAGAGCTGGCTCTCATTTTAGGGCCAGAAAAAGCTGTTCAACTAAAGCCCACTCTTTCCAGTCCATCTTAAGGAAGAGAGAGGGACCAACTTTTCCCCTGACTTCAGATCTCTATTTCAAGTGCTGTCAGAAACACCAGTGAATTCAAATACATTCTGGCCACCAGTGGTTTCAACCAAAATACACAGCCAGGGATGAGCACGCTAACCAAACCCATAGCCTGGGACTTCTAACTGATGATCTTATAACATCACCTCCAGCTCTGGATTCCAGGGGGTCCAGATTAGCAGTCAAAGCCAGTGCTACAGAACAAAGGATAACAGTCATGTACTATCTCCCTAAAACTAAGGGTGCCAGGAGGGCCTCCACAACAAGAGTGGTCAGGGAAGTGAGGAGAGGGAAAGTCAGACCAACACAGGGATCTCCCAGGGTGCACGATGGTACTGCTTTAAAGGAAAAAAATCAGCATAGCCTTGGCAATAATGAGGTATGATTCTACCGGGTATGTTGTGAGGACGAGGAAATGGAAGGGGACTATTACGAACACATTTGATGAAAGGGTGAAGATTAGACTCACCCCAGGTGGAAATGTGGAGACTCTGATGGGGTACTTAAACCATTAGCTCTCTCACGTCTCTGAGGGGATCTTCAACGAATAAAGAAAATCAGAAGTAGGTGACAGTGGGTACATCCGACTCAATGTCTCCCACATGGGAGCCCTCAAGGCTGGTCTCGAGCTACACTGCCAGCTGCCCTCCTCTTGCCTGGTCAGCAAAGCCCACACCATGAAGGAATCTTAATAAGGAGGTGCAGGACCCCCCCAGTCTGTGGGACTAAGGTCCCTGAGCAGCCATGGCATAATTGCAGAAGCCGCGTGAATCTGCAGAGACCCAAGCTATCTACAAGCAAGCACCTATGTTTCCTATAGATATGTACTATTTTTTAAGAGGACGGAGATGCATATTCACTTAACATTACTGAATTCAATATAGCTTTTTGTTGTTACATAATTTCTTCCGTTGATAGGGACTAAACTATTATCATACAGAGGCTCTCAAAAACTTATGACATTAAAGAGGTCTTTACTCAAGAGTGAACGGAATACACTTTACTTCTTCAACATGAATTGAGAACCAGAAAAAATTAAGTCCTATTTTGGGGCACCTGGGTGGTTCAGTCGGTTAAGCATCTGACTCTTGATCTTGGCTCACTCAGGTCGTGATCTTACAATTTGTGAGTTCGAGCCCCACACAGGGCTCTATGCTGACCGTGTAGAGCCTGCTTGGGATTCTGCCTCTCCTTCTCTCTGCCCCTCCCCCGCTATGAACTGCTTCAATAGTTTTGAGGACAAATCTATGCAAGGAGGAAGAAAATTCAAAGTTAGTATTTGGAAACATGAAATAAAGTTAATTTACTAGCAAGACGAAAAATATCTATACATGAAGCAGAACCACAGAAACTACTGGAAAGACCTATCAGGAATCATACTAATGTCAGACAGGGATTCGGCGTGACTGACTTTCTCAGGCCCACCCCAACCCTACTCTACCCCAGGGCTCAAAGGAATCCAAACTGAGGGAGATCCTGCCCCGACAGGACCTACCACAGCAGAGAAAGTCACCAACCCAGAGGACTGCATCACCGAGCACTCACGGAGCTCAGCAGTTCACCCTACCATACCTAAATTTTCTATTCCAAGGTATTTGTGATTTCTAAAAAGCCTGGCTTCAGAGTCCATCCTTTTTGAACCAAACTGATATTTTCACCCTCAGCTCAGATCTGACATGAGGGAACAGATTTTGGACATGAACTCTTCTTACTATTGGAAGGAACAGCAAGGCCACTTACAGGCTCGGGCAGAAGTTTGGGAAAGTCACAGAAAAGGGTGGAGGAGACTGCTGCTTATTCTCACACTTAGAAAAGTCAAAACACAGGATTTTCGATTCGAACACCAAGAATAAGGTATAAAATAGAAACTGCATTGGGAGCAAGGAAGAACTGTCAGAGCAGAGATTGCATATGCTCCCTATGAGCAAGCTGATCTTGTGTGCACTTCCCCACATGGACTTGTTTACTCCTCACATCAACTCCAAGAGATGGGATCCCCGATCACAGATGAGGAAACATGGGGCCACATAGCGAGGCACGGCACAGCCAGGACTCACGCCCAGGCAGTCTGGGGTCAGCGGTTATGCTCGCCACTACTGCACGGTAAGTGACTGGCCTACAAAGACCCGGCACTTGAGAGAGCTTAACTTGTAAGCCACTGGAAGAACACGAGCACATCCAGGGCACAAAGCTGGGGCCCACGCTTTGCTCAGAGGAGGGTCTCACACCTGTCCGCGTGGCTATGAAGTGGGGCACAAGAGAAGCTCTGGCGGCCTTGGGGTCGCATCTGAGTGCACTCACTACCAGTGCTGGATCATTCCACCTGCCCCTGCTTCGGGATAAGCCTCCAAGTCAAGAGAGGCCTGGAACCCTGTTATTCATTCTCTTTGCTCTGAGCGGATGTTTTAAGGGAAGAAGCAGGTATAAGTAGGACACCTGGCCAAACTCTTCACATTTGGTAAATGCTTAATGTACCTGCAACTCTGAGTCAGATCCCTCCAGGTGTCGGCAAACTATAACTAGAGGGCTAAATCTGGTCCACCACCTACTTCTATAAAGTTTAACCGAATAAACATAGCTATGCTCATTCATTTACATATTGTCCATGGTCTATGGCTGCCTTTGCACTAGAACACAGGAGCTGAGTAATAGCAAAGCGATAATATGACCCACAAAGCCTAAAATATTTATTGTGTGACCCTTTACAGAAAACGTATGCTGAGCCCTGTCTGAGGAGGTTCCAGGGAATGAGGAGACTAGAAAACTGAAGCTGGGAATTTCTCAGAAAGAAAGCTGTGGATGAAACACACAACAGAGAAAAAGGTATCCTAGTTTTAAAAGGGTATACCCATCTTTAAGTGGAAAAAATCTCGTGTATTCTGGCTCTTACCCTTCGTCTCCCGAGGCAAGCTCCCTCTGACCAAGTGTGCTTGGCCCCCAGGTCCGTCCTTTCTTCTTGGGGGCCCTCTTCTCCTCCTCCTCCCCTTCTTCTTTCGGGATGACTGAGTTCCGGCCCCAGGTTTTGCTGCTTTCACCTGGTGTCACTGTGAATAACAAAAGTTGGATGGGATCTGGAAAAAAAGATAGACAGGGTCCCCCCAAAACTAGCCTCTACTTCACCACACAGACACAGACACACGCACGCACGGACGTGTGCGCGCACACACACACATATGGAGTTACAGGGAAGAAGTCACATCTCCTCAAAAACTCTGTGCCCAAGGGGAGCCTTCAAGTCCTCAGCCACCAATCATTGAGCACTCTCAAAGTACCAAACATGGAAACACTGCCCAGATTCTAGATTCTCATAAGTCCAATGCAAAGCTGGAGCTCAAGCCAGCCAGACAGCAGAGCTCCAAACAGATCTGACTTCAAGAACTTGTTTTGTTGGGTGGAATTGGACTGGGAAGGGCAGTGGGTGAGGAGGTAGGTAGGAGAGAAAACGGAAAAGGGGGTAAGGAAGACTTGGAAGTACAGAAAGGAACTGTGGTAAGAAAGGAAGACAATGAGGGGCTCAAGACTATGGAGAAGGAAGTCAGGAGCAGGAGGAGAAGGGGAAGGAACAGGCCTAGAGAAATATAACACATAAGAAAGGAGGAACATTCTTCTGACATCGCTACCTTAGAGAAGTGTTGAAACCCAAATGCTTCAGAGACAAGGCTTACATCATAAATGAGTGAATGATTCCAGACACCACAAAATAGGGAGCTGAGGGGACTGAGGCAAAATACAGTGCATATGGAAGCTGCCATTGGATCCAGGCAACTGAGGCCACATGATAAAGGGAATCCACTGATCCGAACTGATATTTCAAGGATAGCCAGAAACCTAGGGCTTTTAAAAAAAATGAAATCTCTGTCTTTAAAGTTAGGGGCAATACTTCATTCATACACACAAGCGTGTGTGTCAGTTCTTTTCAGTAAACACTGTGGTGAAAATAAAATTGGTCCAGATTTGGCCTGTCACGAAGTATTTGGCAAGTTTTCTTAGGAACTACACTTTGAAAACACTCTTCCCTGGGCAGCATGAACAAAAGAAAACCAGTGATGCCCTAAACATGGCAGAGAGTGCACAAGGTCCCCAGGCCAGGGTACCAACCAACCTGGGCCAGGTACCAGGGTATCTACGTCACACGCCAGTTTCCAAATTGCTTTGTGGTTCACTAAGGATCCCGTCGATACCCACACCCCCCTTTGCTGGTATCTAAGAGGAAAAGGTAGGGGAGGTAGTAGTAAAGCTAATGGAGAGAGACAAGAAGGAGGGCTACGGGTTTGCGTACATATGTGCATGTATATACACATTGTCGAGGAGAAGTGGCAGAAGTTATGGATGGAGCAAGCCTGGGCCAGTCGGTGGCTGGACAGAGCAGGGGACAGGTGCCCCCGGTGTGTTCTGGCCCCAACTAATTTGGGAAACAGTCTCACACTGGATGGCTCGAAGGCGAGGGATGATGGTGGGGCTCGCAGGAGGACTGGAGCGGCTGTTGATGAGACTCTTCCTTTTATCCATGGTGGGGGAGGCCTGAACCGTGAACTTGTGCTGGAAATCTGCTTGGGGAAACACAGACGTGCGTGTGCATTAGAATCCTCCCATAATCCAGTTCCTATGAGAAAAGCGACTTGTCCTGGCAGGCGTGAGGGACAGGCCCCAGTTTCCCAAGAAGCAGCTTGTTCACCTGGGAAATGTTTTCTTTCTCCCCAAAGGACAGTAGGAACAACATGTGAGGAGAAGGAAAATTCGCCGTCCAAGTGAACCTCGTATATACTGATTTCCCATAGTTTTTTTTTTTTTTTTTAAGACCACGAGACTTGTTGAGTATTATAGGTAATCTAACTTAAAATTCTGTTTCTTGGGGCCCCCGGCTGGCTCAGTCAATTAAGTGTCCCACTCTTGACTTCGGTGCATGTCATGATCTCACGGTTCGTGAGATCGAGCCCTGAGTCAGGCTCTGTGCTGACAGGGCAGAGCCTGCTTGGGATTCTCTCTCTCCCTCTCTTTCTGCCCCTCCCTGGCTCATGCTTTCTCTCTCTCAAAAGAAATAAACTTAAAAACAATTCTCTGTTTCTTACAATCTATTAGTACATGCCTTCTTTTCTCAGGGATCAAAGCAGGGAGACTGATGCTTCTCACTAAGTGCAGGCAGGGCAGAGTAATTAGGACTAATCCTTGGTGGGAACCTGGGAAAGTGAGGGTCATGGGGCTCATGCTCCAGACCATGACGTCTTCCAAAGGCAGTTACGGCAGAGCATAAAGAATGTAAAACTTATAGCTCTGGGTTTCTAAGTTCCAGTGCCCTCATCCACCGAGAAGTGTGAACAGCTGAGTGTCCACACCTGGGTCTCCCCACTAGCTGCGCTCTCCGGGAAGGTGGGAGCTACTGCTTTCTACGTGCTTCCCCAGCACACAGCAGCAGCATGGCACCACACACAACATGCTCGAGTGGGGCTCCAAGACTCCTTGTTGCCTTGCCAGAAAAAACGCGCAACACAGACACCAGCAAACATGTCCCACAAACGCATTCACGGAATTGCACTGAATGGATTCCCTTGTCTGTACTGAAGCCATGATACCAGTGCTTAAAATCATCTGCTATTGTTCCAACTCTGCCGTTTTCCCCAGGTTCCTTACGCTTCTGTAGGTTTCCTTCCCAGACCTTATAAACTTAGACTACAATGAACTTTTTATCTACATAAACATACACTTGAGCACTCACCTTCCTGCATGGGCACGTTACACCCCTCGACGACCCTGATTCATAGATTCTTATTACTTTGCACTTCCCCAAGGCTGGACATACTCCAGATGTGCCTTTATTCACCCAATGTGCTTCTGAAAGGTTGCATGTAAATCAAATTCTTACACATTAATCCTTGTCTCCACTGCTTGCAGAAAACTAATTATTTAAAGAAACTCAGAGATGAGTTATTCTGCAGAGCACGGAGTTCTCGATCTCTCGCATAGTGTACCAGGCCTCCTCACCAGGCCTGCCTCACGGGAGACGTGTCCATGTGAGCCACCCGGCTACTAGCAGTCTGGACTGCGCCTGCCTGTCGGGTCCACCAGTCACTGGCCCTTCTTCCTTCACGCCCTGGATTTAGTCACCCTCAGAAACTTCCCAGGAGCGGGAAAGCTTTTCTGCAGGCTCGTCTTTTCGGTGAACGGAACCGGTGCGTCCAACCCGCTCCGACCCGAGACCCAGAGCCTCCTGCTCCCGAGCCCCGTCCCTGGCCGTCCCCCGGGACCCCAGCAACGTGCTGCCCTGCTCCCGCCCTCCACCCCCAGCCCACTGACCGGAAGGAAGGCTGATGCGGTTCCCATCCTTGAGCTTCAGCCGGCTCTTCCTGAACTTGCCCTTGCGTTTCTTCACCCGGGGCTTCTCCTGGCACAGCTGGTGGATGATGATGTTGAGCTCCCGCTCTAGGATGTCGATCTCCCGCTCGGCCAGCTCCTGCTCGCGTCGCCGCAGCAGCTCCTCCTGCGTCTTCTGCTGGAGCGCGGCCCGCGTCAGCTCCTCCTCCCAAGTGCGCAGCTCCTGCAGCAGCAGACGCGGAGGGGGGGGAGGGGGTGTTTCAGTGCGGGGGGGGGGGGTGTCAGTGCAGGGGTGGGGTGCTCCCGGACACCTGGCTAGCGCTCCTACAAGGCCCCACACCCCCGGTCCCAGGAGGAGATGCAGGTTCGGTAGGTGGACGCCTGACCACGCCGGACACTGGGGACAGGCAGGCTCGGCACAGCCACACGGAGGACACAGCTACAGGCTGGAGACAGGGGCTGATAGTTCCCAGACGCTCCTTGATTACTGATTAAAGCTGCCTGTGACTGGTAAAGAACGGGCTTTGGGTAGAAAATATAATCCTGACTTACGTTTTACAGACTTGGTTCTATTTTAATTTTGTTTTTCCATTATATACGGGAAAAAAAATCTTTAAACCAGGGCCAACTTACTGTGATCTAGCTTAAAATGTGCCCCCACTATAAATGAATCGCCCTCAGGGCATCACCTGACACTCAAATAAAAATATATTTCCAGAGTGATTGTTCAAAAACGGTAGTGAAGCATGTCTTCTAAACCTCTATGCAGCTGGTGAGTGAATCTACTGAGGCATGTGGTTTGAACTCTCATCTTATCTCAAAGGACAACCATTTGCTCTGGAAGGATCATGATAGCAATGCAAAGAGAAAACATTTCCCAAAGTCTTTGCCAGGCACTTTGCTCTAGTACCACTACCCTATTAGATGGGCCAGACCTCTCCCCTTTTCCTTCTGCATGAATTTATGTCTGTACCCAGCATAAAGTTCCTGAGATGGGGTGGGGGAGGGGACAGGGGGGCGATGTAGATGGTATCAGGAAACAGGAGAGAAAAACAGGAATGAGGAATGTGCATACAATTGTCCAATCTGGCATCTAAACTGTTCGCACTGGTCACCCGGGGCATAAGACTGAAGTGAGGGGGCATGAGGCAGTAAAACCTAAAAACAATAGGGCATTTCTTCAATAAAGTGGCCAGAGCAACACTTCTGTGGTCAAAACCTACAATTTCTCCATGGAATGCTCCACTATAAGAAGTCATTCTGGACACTAGAAAAGGAGCCTAGCACTAGAAAAAAAAAAAAAAAAAAAGGATGTGAACACATATTGGCGAAGCTGAGCAGTGGGTAGAGAAAAGAAGAGAGAACAGAGGCCAGATGGGAATAAAATATTATGATGTTTAGGAACTTTTTACTCAACTTGCCCTCTGTTCTCAAGAGTATCACAACTGATAATAAACGGGATAGAAAAGGCAGAAGTGAAAAAAGGATTAGCACCTTGAAAATGGTCTAGTACATGATAGGTGCTCAGTGCTAATGTGTGAATGAGAAAGTTGGAGGGGGAGAGAATTCATGTTTATAAATGCACACCTTTATGGGAACCCAGATTCACCAAGTCTGAGAGATGAGCCGGAACTTTTGAGCTTCTCCTCCTTTAATGAAATTAGCACCAAACAGATCCGCTGTTGTACGCCCCCCAAAAAACCTTGGCTCTCTTTGTCCCAGTACTTTGTTTTCACCATCAGGAGAACAGACACACATGCAAGATTCAGGAAAAATCATTCCTGGTTGGTTGATTTTGCTGCTAGATGGGAAAATTAAAATTTCCAGCTGATTTCAGCTTTCTTAAGTCTGCTTCTCCTATGCGCTTTTGTCTAGGGGATGGTTTGTGTTGTAGCCCCTTCCTTTGAAGGAACTCAGACCCCAGTTCAGAGACAAATCCATGGTCACTATACCTGGAAGCTGTAAATTGAGACGGGTTGAGAATGAGCTGAATCATAGGGGAAACCGGGACATTTGTGGAGTACTCACAAATATCTGGAAGACTCTCAAACATGGGGAGTCTTCCTCTTCTTGTGAAATGCCTATTTGGGGATCAGTCTCCTCATATGCAAATCACATTTGCATACAATGATTTAAGAGGAATCTCTCCAGAGAGAAAGCTTATTATCCATCTCACCCTCACTTGCCCAACTACAAGCCTTATAACAGACAGGCATCATAGCACGGTGGTTAAGAGCAAGGGCTCCCGGGACACCTGGGTGGCTCAGTTGGTTAAGCATCCGACTCTTGACTTTGGCTCAGGTCATGTTCTCATGGTTCTTAAATTCAAGCTCTGCGTCAGGCTCTGCACTGTCAGTGCAGTGCTTGGGATTCTCTCTCTCCCACTTTCTCTGCCCACTTTCTCTGCCCTTCCTCCCTCGTGCACGCACTCGCTTTCTCTCAAAAATAAACAAACTTTAAAAAAAAAAAAAGAAAAAAGAGCAAGGACCCTGGAACAAATTGGCTGAACTGTGGCCTGGGATGAGTTACCTTGGGCATCATATGCAATATGGCGTTAACAGCACTGACATCACATGGTTGTATTACATAAGACAATGATTACCTTACTGTGTAAGATTACATAAGAATTCGTATCAATTACTTAGAGCATGGTGCAGGGAACATGCTCTATGAATGTTAGCCGTTATGTGAATGGGGCTTTTCCTAGTAACTACTTACTGACAAAATCCAAGTTTCATTCCTCTTATTGGCTGGTACCCTTATAACTTCATCAATCAAAAGAAAGAAAACCAAGAGTCAAGTGATTCAACAGTCTAAAGAGAACCAGCAACTCTAGGTTTCTTCTAGTTGGAACAGCGTTAGTAACAGGAACAAACTCTATTAAATCATTCTTCTCCAAGGTCAGTGCTGGTTCCCTCCCCCACCCCCCAGGTCTCAAAAGACATCACAGGCTCACTCCATTCCCCTGCAGAATGCTCACTGACTTGCGAAATAGTACCAGTCTTAGGATTGCTATATGGCATAAAAAAAAAAAAAAAAGAGTTTAATTTCTTCACACTAGCTTAAGAAATGTCATTTTTTAAAAAGTCATTTGTTTAGGGAAACAACAACGATATTGGAGAGAAGAAGGTATTGGAGTCAGAAGATCCAAGTTCAAGATTCTGCCTCTCCACTCTACTGGCTGTGTGACTTTAGACAAGTCACTGACGCTCAGCCTTAAGATGAAAAAGATAATACCTGCCCCACATGCTGGTGGCAGAGGCCATAAGCTTCCCTGGATAAAAAAGACACAAAATTCTTTCATCATCAGACCTTCCGAGCGAAAGAACTGGGAAGACCTAGAGACTTACATGATTTTAGCTATTGTTATTATTTTAAATTGCTTCCCCAATGCCCATTGTGGGGAATAGAAGGGAAAAGAGAAATTAACTGAGAGACACATGGATGTTGCCTGTGACCCCAGCTGTAGCCTTAGATCCAGCCTGCCCCCCCGCCCCCCCTGCAGAAGCAGCAACATAGTTGCTGGTGTTTACTGGTGTTTAGCTTCACCTCTGGGGATGCTGACTGCTAACCAGGCACAAAGGGCATAGAGAGGAGCTACGCAGGGAATGGCCACCAAAACAAAACGGCAGATCTTTAATTTTAATAAGCTAAGAATATCTGAACTCCTCAGTCAGTTTGGGCTGCAGCCCTTTTCATAAAAACGTGCAAAATACCAAATAAGTTTCAGAACCACAGTATTTTTAGCCCATTGCTATTTCCGATTCTGATACCAAAAGTAGGATATTCTGATAACTGTGCTCAGGGTTGAATATCCCTATATCAAGTTAACCTCCCACCCCCACCCTGGAAGTCCAGTAGAGAACCAAGAAACATTTCTAGAACCTTCTCATACTTTCTGCTGGTACTTACCCAGTGGTGCTCTTCCTCTGGCCTGGACAATGAAATAGATACTCCGTAAAAAGAGCTCTGGATCACGACTCCCCTACTTGTTCCTGCCATATCCCCAAAAGAAAGGAAACATCTATACTATTTCAGGTCACACCTGAGGCCTGGGAAACTCTCTTCATGTAAAGCCAGGATGAAAAAGCTGCTCTGTTACCAAAAATCAAGCAGGAAGGTGGTTGTGTCGGAATTTGTCCAGAGGCCCCAGTGGGGAAGGCCCACTGATTCAATGCGCGCCTTTTTCTTGTTTTACTTACCTTTTCTTTGGCCCTGAGTTGGTCAAACATCTCCTGAATCTCATGTTTCCAGTCATCCTGCAGGCAGTGGAAGGAGTCCTTGGGCATTTCAAAGAAACCAGACTCCTCTATGGTAGTTAGCTGGTCCAGGATATTTGTGAAAGATGGTCGTGAGTGAGGGTCGGGATTCCAGCAGTCTGCATGAAACACGTGAGCAGATGGAGCGCATAAATGGACAGAGACAGGCATTAAGACTTGGAATAGTATGGGACCTCACTTACCAGAAAAATTTTTCCTTCCAGAAACAGAAACACTGGGATTTTAGGTAACCACAAATAGGGCTGGGGAAATAAAACAAGCTGCCCAACCTCAGGATCATAAAGAGTGAATGGGGCAATATAATGCGGCCACCCCTATCCAACTCTGTTGATTTAGCATAAAAAAACGCAAGTCCAGAAAGTCTGCCTGTGTGGAGTTGGACAACCATGACTTCTCACATTCCTACATGATTCCAGCCCTGACAATGGGTGATGAGGCATCGGGCCTCAATTTCCCACAAATAAATGAGCAAGTCTGGCCCACCTCAATGGTATAATGATAAAGCAGGGATAAAAGGCACCAGACTGGGCATCAGGAAAAGTGAGCTCTACCTACTGTGCTCAGATACTAGCTAATGGAGTGCACCTTGCCTCTCTCAGCTTTGGGTTTCTCACTTACAGATTATATGGTTTGACTAGATGACTTATAGAGTTCCTTTCTTCTTGGACATTCTTCACTTCTATATGCAATATGCTCATTTTGTATTAAATAATAAAATACTAAAGCACTGGATAGCAGGCTTTAGTTCCTAAACTAAGTTCTATAGTTACTGGAGATGGACAGAAGGGGCATTTGTGACATCAACGTAGCAGGGTGCTGACATCATCTTCAAGTAGCTCTTCCAACCACCCACAGGAGTCATCCGTGAGTGACTGATACTTCATCTCCTCTTTTGGTAACCGACCCAGCAGAATTGTCCGTAATCTACCCAAGTATTGCTGAGAAGGCAAACTTTCTCTAGTTTTGTTCTGGTCAGGGGTCACTTACCTTCCATGAGTTTGGCAAAAGGTTCCGGGCATGTAGAAGGAATGGGAAGAGCGAGCTTGTTCATGGCCACTCCATAAGCTACGGCTAAGCCATCGATTCCTCGGAAGGGCACTTCACCAGTCAGGAGCTCCCAAAGCAGCACCCCGTAGCTGAGGAGAGGAAAAAGACCAAAGCCACAAGGCAATCTCACTGAGAGGGCTCATGAGACCTTTCTGAGGTGCCCATACTCTTTCTGGGATGGAGGGAGACCAACAAGTAGATGCACCAATGGAATACAGACAGGAGACCACGAGGCCGACCCACTAAAAGGAAAAGTTCTGGAGTCAGGCATGCTTGATTTCAAAGCCTTGTTCCTCAGATTCCTCATCTATAATGTGCAGACAATACTACCAGTATCATAAGGCTGCCGTGAGAGTCACTGAGCCACTCTAAGGGCTTAAGTCAGCGCCAGCCGGCCACAGCTATTCTGTCGTTACCAATAATGTAACACTCTGCAAGAAGGGGCAGCCTCCCAAGAATCCATGTTTTCTCTATTTTAAGAAAACCTCAGCTTTAGCCACAGATATATTTTTTCAGCTTTCGAAAAGCAGAGACCTGACCACCTGACCACCTAGAACATTTCTTTAAATGCCCATTCAGTTGTATAGATTCCTGCCCTCGGTCAGCTAACAGAGACCTCTGTCTAATTCAAAGGGGAAAGTTGCACAAAGGTGGCCTACATGGGGAGAAGAGAGCAGGGTATCAGCCGTGAGGACTTCAGTTTCCTCTCGACCTTTCAAAGCCACATGAAGAACTTCTTTTCACATGTCCTGTGAGTCGGAGAAAGGGGAGCACAAAGTTTAGCGGAATAACTATTCTACGAATTCACAATCAGAACGAGGCAACGTCATGTAGGGTTCAATCCTTCCAGGAATAACAGTCCTTCCGGGACAAGCAACCATAAGGCCATGAACAGTAAAGACGAGCGGCTCTCATATTTTCTTTCTTTCTTTCTTTTTTCTTTCTTTTTTTTTTTTTTTTACAAATAGTTTATTGTCAGGTTGGTTTCCATATAACACCCAGTGCTCATCCCCACAAGTGGCCTCCTCCATGCCCATCTCCCCCCTCCTCCCCCACACCCATCAGTCCTTAGTTTGTTCTNCATGGTTTGCCTCTCTCCCTTTCCCCCACCATTTCCCCCCTTCTTCTCCCCCATGGTCCTCAGTTAAGTTCCTCCTAATCCTCCTATACGTGCAAACACAGGATATTTGTCCTTCTCTGCCTGACTTATTTCGCTCAGCATAACACCCTCAAGGTCCATCCATGTTGCTACACATGGCCAGATTTCATTCTTCTCATTGCCATGTAGCATTTCATCGTATAGATAAACCACATCTTCTTGATCCATTTGTCCGTTGATGGACACTTAGGCTCTTTCCATGTTTTAGCTATTGTGGAGAGTGCTGCTATGAACATTGGGGTACATGTGCTCCTATGCCTCAGCATTTCTGTATCCCTTGGGTAAATTCGTAGCAGTGCTATTGCTGGGTCATAGGGGAGTTCTATTGTTAATTTCTTGACTCCTCATATTTTCAACACAAGCCTCAAATTTTTAAAAATACTCATCAGTAGTTAATAACCAACAAAGTCATGTTATTTTCAAACAAAACACAGCTCAGTGGTAAGGCATGCGACTCTTGATCTCAGGGTCATGAGTTCGAGCCCCACATTGGGCACAGAGATTAATAAAAAGCTTAATATCTATTTCATCATGGTACTTTGTATGCACAAGGTGCTAAGGCCTTTCTAAACATCATCTTGAATCCCTACCACAAACTTGCAAGATAAATATTATCACCATTTTGCAGATGACGAAAGCAAGTTTCAGGTAAGTTTAGCAGCATATATTAAGGGCACACATGGAATAAGTCATGGTGGGCCCTGGACCAACTCTCAATTCCCTCTGTCTAGAATCCCCTTTTACCATTTCTCTGCTAGGTGAACTCTAATCGTCTTTCAAATTCAAGTGCACCACCATTTATTCATTCATTTTAAACATCTACTAAAGATTTACTGTGCCTCAGGCTCACTGCAGGACACTGGGATACAGGACACAGATCTTATCTACAAAGAGACTACTGAGAGGAACAGAAAAGATGTCAATTCGAACACAGAGGGGCCACAAGAGACATACCATGAGTGCACAAAGAGACCAAGATGGACTCCTGGCCACCCAAACCAGACCAGAATAGGGCAGGAAGTAGCTAAACCTTGACTGCTAGCTAACAGAAGACAGGGATCCGCACTACAAAGCCAGGGCTCGCCCTCCAGGAATCCCAGGTGACCTGGCATCGTTCCAAAGAAGGGCAGTGTGCCAACCAATGCACCGGAGCATCCCAGAAGATCCCCGTAGATGGAACCCAGGAGCAGCCTAGCCAGTCTCCTTGGGCAATGGCTTTCCCCCAGTGTGCCCTCCGAATACCGTCACTTTCTTTATGGATCTCAGCAACCAAGAAAGCCTGGAAGACAGCAGCAGGTCTTGTCGTGACAGGGAGGTGGGTCTTAGTCTGCGGCGGACGGCAACAATGTCAGACGCTTCAGGGAAGCCTTCGCTGACACTGCCAGTGTTACTTAACCCTTGTTGGGGCTGCCATGGACTGCAGCCTATGGGCTCTTCGAGAGCAGGGAGAGTAGTTTAACCTTTGCTTTCTTGGGGGCTGTACATAGTAGGCCCCCGTCTGGTGAGTGCGCTGGTGGGTGGGTAAGGGAGACAGCGCATGGACAGACGGTCCCGCAGGCTGCGCTGGGCGCCCCGGAGTAAGCCCTGAATACCGAGAACAGCACCATTATTCATTCTCCTGCCAAATCTTTACTGTGACTCATCCAGACAGCAGTCGTGCCTGGCAGCTGCTACCAAGTGACCTCTAAGAACTGTCCGCACTGCGGATGAGACTCCTAGGCTACAGTGACCCTCATCTTCAGTCGTCTGCTCCCGGAATTACTGCCAACCTTCGCTCTGGGGAACAAACACCCAAGGTCCCCCAGAACCCTCTCTTCCATTCAGGGCAAGAGGACTGGTGTCTGAGCCCTAACTACCTGGAAAGACAGTAGAGAATTTCAAAGATCTAAACACATGTCCCGTTTGTGTCCTTGCATCCACACTGTGATGATTTTCATGCTGAGTCCTCGCTGACCCATGGAGATGTCTCAGGCCACCGGGAAGAGGGCGGAACAGGGACTCCATCTCTCTCAGTTTCAGCGAGGGCAGCCCTGTTCTCACCTGGCTTGTTTCTTTGTTCAACAGCATTTTGTTCCATGTGAAAAGCCCCACCACTAGGAGAAACTGTTCAGATGCCGCCCAAGAGAGGTTCAGACAGACTTGAGTCAAGCATGTCTGCTTCACCATTTACAGTGGTGTGGCCCTGGGAAAGGCAGCTTGCCTCTCCAAGCCTCAGTTTCCTCACCTGTGCAACAAAACAGCCAATTCCTATCACACAGAATAACTGCAAAGAATAAATAACAATAACAACTGCTTCTCCGGAAGCTACCCTCTATGGCTAGTAAACACTGTGTGTTTCCCCTTGGGAAGGTCCTGAAATGAGAAAGCCTCTGGTGGGATTTAGGGAGAGACTGCAGTGTCTGCTGAGAGCCTTGCTGAGGGACACCAGCAATCAGGGAAGAAGCATTTCTGGGGATGACGGAACCAGTTCGTTCTCCTCTGCCAATGTTCCTCTTTATTTCACTAACACAAGGTGGTAATGTAAATGAAGCCTTGGCATTCCTTTGGCAGGAACAGAGTCCAAGAAAGGAACTAAAGAATGACACATTCGATGTGTCTGAGCCCCCATGAGAGGTGGGCAGGAGAAGCCCACATGATTTACCTCAGGTCTGACCCATTCTGATGCCCTCCCAGGGTTGACAGAAGGTCAACAGAACCTTTCAAGATCGAGCACAAGTGGCCTGGAAGTACCAGCTCAGCTAAAGTTCTGCCTCAGTCCCTCCCCCAACGGAGAGCCACCAGTTCCCACAGTGCTGTCAGTGATTTCCCAGGGGTCCTTGCAAACCTTGGGGAACGTACCCTGTGTCACTGATTGACCACCTCCAGAGGTATGGTAATCCTTCCCACTGTTTGGTGGGGTCACAGGTCAGGGAGAGGTGTTCTATGTTCTCAAAGTGAGGAAAAGCATCAGAGCAAATAGCTGCCCAACCAAAGGCACAGCAAATCCACACTGGAGCTGGACCAGGGCTATTTTTCTTATTAACTTATGTTGTCTCTAAGACACATACCCTGAAAGGAGAGGGTGCCCTTTGAATGGGCTTCTGGACTTGATAATTGGCTGTGCCCCCACATTCTAGAAACCACACTATTTAACAATTGTTGGCTACGACAGTTGAACTACTACATATGAAAGCACTCTGTAAATTGTAAAGTAACACAGTTCTTGTTTTGTTTTTTTTTTTTTTTTTAACGTTTTATTTATTTCTCTGAGAGAGAGAGACAGAGAGACAGAGAGAGACAGAGAGAAGCAGCCTGAGCAGGGGAGGGTCAGAGAGAGGGGGAGATACAGAATCTGAAGCAGGCTCCAGTCTCTGAGCTGTCAGCACAGAGCCCGACACGGTGCTCGAACCCACGAACCGTGAGACCATGGCCTGAGCTGAAGTTGGATGCTTAACTGACTGAGCCACCCAAGCACCCCTGTTCTTGTTGTTGTTGTTAACTAGACCTCATTCGAAATGACAGTCTATTTATTAATATATATGTAATATATACATGATACATTGACATAGTAAATATTTATTGATATGGCAATATACTCATGCTATGTTATATCCATTATTATTATTATTATTATTTTGAGAGAGAGAGAGAGAGACAAGCAAGGGAGGGGCAGAGAGAGAGAGAAGGAGACAAAGAATCTGAAGCAGGCTCTAGGCTCTAAGCTGTCAGCACAGATCCTGAAGCAGGACTCGAACCCACAAACCATGAGATCATGACCTAAGCCAAAGTTGAACGCCCAACAGACTGAGCTACCCAAGTGCCCTTAGATTATATTCAAAAGCAGCTTACAAAACAGAGTGATCTCATTTTAAGGGATGGGTAGATGAGCACATGAACAGAAATAAACGCACCAAAATATTAACCCAAGTTATCTTTAGAAGTAGTATTGGGTGATTTCTTTTTCCCTTTTTTTTTCTTTTTGTTTACCCATATTTTCTATTTTTCCTATGGTGAACAAATTTTTACTTCTATAATCTTATTTTATTTGAATGTTTATTTATTTATTTTGAGAGCAGGGTAGGGGCAGAGAGAGAGGGAGACAGAAAATCTCAAGCAGGCTCCATGCTGTCAATGCGGAGCCTGTGCAGGACTCAAACTCACAAACCGTGAGATCATGACCTGAGCTGAAATGAAGAGTCAGACGCTTAACAGACTGAGCCACCCAGGTGCTCCTATTTCTATAATTTTGAAAACGTAAAATGCCTCCACCCCATCCCACACACATCAGGCAAGAAGTCATTACAGGAGACCACTAACCACTGCACTCTCTGCACAGCACAACCAAAGGGAAATACTTGGTCAATTACTCCTGCAGTGGTCTAAATCCAAGCACATCAGGAAATACTTGAAGTTGAGGATCTGGGCCGCTATCATCATACCTTCCATCACAGTATGTGGAAGAGGCCCAGAGAACTACTCTTGAAAAGCAGTTAAGACACACTCAGTAAGAAGAAGCCCAGAGGCCCCAGACCCTCCAGGAAGGGTAGAAGATGGACACAGGCTCTGTCCAGTACCTGGCACATGGTAAATATTCAACAAGCATTTCCTGAATGAGTGAATGAATTACAAGTTAATTTGGGAACAAATGTTGTCTGAGCTCCTGGGCATGCATGGGCCCTCTCTGAGCCCTAGGACCCTACTGACCCCAGGCCCAATCACCCTGGGAGAAGCTGCCCAAAGTGCAGGCACAAGGGTATATAGATGGCAATATGGCTAAACCACAAAGTATTAAGAGACACATATTTAGTTCTTTTGTTGTTGTTTTTTTTTTAAAAGTAGGCTTCACACCCAGTGCAGAGCCCAACGTGGGGCTTGAACTCACAACCCTGAGCTCAAGAGTTGGACACTTAACCAACTGAGCCACCCGGGTACTTCCTATGATTCTAATCACAGCATTACCTCTACCACCTGGATGAACTTGGACATGTGACTTAAACCATCTAAGCCTCAGTCACCTTATCTGTAAAATGGAAATAATATCCTCTACTTTTGGGGATTCTTGTGAGGAATAAATGAGATTAAAAGAAGAGGTATAGTGGAGCACCTGGGTGGCTCAGTCACTTGAGTGTCCGACTTTGGCTCAGGTCATGATCTCGTGGTTCGTGAGTTCAAGCCCCACATCAGGCTCTGTCAGAGCCTGGAACCTGCTTCAGAGTCTCTGTCTCCCCTTCTCTCTGCTCCTCCCCCACATGCACTCTGTCTCTCTCTCTCTCTCAAAAAATGAATAAAACACTAAAAAATATTTTTTAAATGGGGTATTTAGCATAGAGCCTTGCTCATAAGCATTTGCGTGGGTGGCAAATACTGTTAACAGTGTATGCATATTGTACACACAGCAATGGGCACAAGGTTTCCTCTGACAAAGGTACGAGATCATCTGGAGCCACTTAGGTAAGTCGGCTCAAGGAGTGCAAGAGTAAAGGCCCATCTAATGGGCTCCTATACCTTGTTCCTCGCAGGGAACGCTGCAGCGTGGAGGCTAAGACAGTGGGAGGGAGCACAGTGAGTTATGTCTTCAAACCACATTCATCAACCAAGATGAGTCAGGAAGCTGAAGTCCCGGGAACAATTCTAAACTGGGAGACCCACTGGCACAGCAGACCACGTGACCACATCCAAGCCACCTCATCCAAAGTGCTACTGATTTGGGGCTTACCTCCAAGCTATTCCCTTGGGAAGCTTGAGAAAGAAAGATTTCGAAAAGAACAAAAAACCAGGCACTAAGAGTGGAATAACTTCATCAGATAACTCACCAAACACTCCTCAAGCCTATTTTCAGGATCTGTGGTTGAAAGGCAAGACCTGGAGGTTAGTCCTAGAACAAGGACACTTTGGGTAAAAGATGAATGGTCCTGGCCTGTTCCTTCCATGATGGACAACCCCTACAATGGCCTTGCTGTTCCTTGCTGGCCATTTCTGTCACCATGAAAAGGCCTTACATTAGATATCTGGGCTTTCCCTTCCCACAAAGAATGTGCCTCGATACTTGCAGCAACTCTGTCCCAATCACAGTGACAGAAACCTTTGGCGTGTGTGACAATAAAATCTAACATTTTCACGGCCAGGCTGGGAAAGAAGGCTCACAGGAATACAGGAAGTAGAAAACACTAATGCTACTGAGAAGTCATGGTTTCCCATGAAGAAAGGTAAGATAAAGGTGAGTGTGGCAAGTGGCTGATTGTCCCTCAAATCCACTCTCCCCTTCTTCCATTAGAAGAGTTTTAGCTGGACACACAGTCAGCCAGCTGGAGCCTACATTTGTCTGCCTCCTTCGGAGCCAGGTGTGTGAGCATAACCAAGGGCAGGAGATGTGCACAACTTCCGGGTTGTCTCCAAATTGAAGACAACCCGCTTGCCATGGATAAGCTCTCTTTCTCAGTTTCTGTAAAATATAATGTGGAAGTTACAGTCACTCAGATGTAACCATTTAGATAAGAAGAATGCACTGAGGGATCCAGAGAGAACCTGGATTTCTGGAGGATCTCATGGGGCACAGCTCCCCTACGGCCTGGACTGTCTGGACTACTCTTTGAAAAAGGAATACACTTCTACTTCATTTAAGCCACTGCATCTGTAGGTCTCTTTGTAATAGTAGCTTAGACTAATTACTATATTAGCTATTCTCATATAGCCTTTAGTCAAGTAATGAAACCGTTAGATCGAAGCCTATGAAATTGCTGTTTTTGTAGGTCAAAAACATTGGAATAGCACTACACAGTTCACACTAATGAAATCTGGTCAGACAGTTTAAGGAAAGAAAACTCTTTTCTTCATAACAGTCACTTCACCCTATAATTAATGTGTGGGGAAATATGATGCAATATACAGAAGCTACAAAACATCACTAAAAGAAATTGGAAAAGGCCTAAGTAAATAGGAATATAGCCCATGTTCATGGATTAGAAGACTTAACGCTGTTAATATGGCAATGCTCCCCAAAGTGATCTACAGATTTAACATAAACCCCATCAAAATCTCAGCTGTAGTAAAAAAAAAAAAATAGTTTGGTGGTTTCTCAAAAAGCTAAAAGCAGAATTACCATAGGACGTAACAAATCCACTTCTAGATATATACTTGAAAGAAATGAAAATCTACGTTCACACAAAAGGTTGCCTAAAAATGTCTACAACAGTATTTTTCACACTTGCCAAATAGTGGAAACAATGCAAATGTCCATCAACTTATAAATGGATAAATCTCCATAGGGTGGAATATTATTCAGCTATAAACAGGAATGAAGTTCTGATGCATGATTCTACACGGATGAACCTTGAAAACATGATAAATGAAAGAAGCCAGTCACAAAGACCACATGTAGGATTCCAAGTACAAGAAACATCTTTAATAGGCAAATCCATAGAGGCAGAAAGTAAACTAGCAGTTGCTGGGGGCCGGGGGAGGTAGGATTGGGGTACAACTACCAATAGGTATTGGGTTTCTTTTTGGGGTGATAAAAATATTCTGGACATAGACAGTATTGTAGTAGTTTGAATGGTAACCCTAAAAAGATATATCCATGTGCTAATATCCAAAATCCTTATGTGGAACAGAATCTCCCCCAAAGTCTCAGAGGGAGCATAGGCCCTATTAGTACTGATTTCAGACTTCTGGCCTCCAGACCACAGAGCTCTATTGTTTAAAGCCACCAGGTCTGCTGTAATTTGTTACAGCGACCCTAGCAAGGTAATAACAATGTTGACTGGTACAAAGTTGGTAAATTTACTATAAACCATTGACTTAGACATTTTGAAAGGTGAACTTCGTCATGTGTGTAATATCTCAATAAAGCTGTTTTTTTAAAAATACACACACTCATCATATACACATACAGGCTCACTTTACAACTCATCAGGAAGAAACAACTTCATAGACTAAAGTCCAAGGATAACCTATGGTCCTTTCTTTTGGTGCACCACGGTGATGCTACTTCTCACAGCCAGGAGGATGCACACTCTGTAGAAGCTCTTCTTCCCATCAGTGAGGATAAGACTTTTAGATCTATGTCCTTATGACCTTTGGGCTGACATCTACTAGGGGAATGGCTGGTCTAATCTGTGACTTTGCAGTTTTCAGTACATGCTTGAGTTCCATCTTTTCCCATTTCTATATCAATGTCCAACAGATAGTGCCCTGACTAAAGAGGTTAACTAGATAACTAGAAAGAATAATTTCCAACCCACCAAAAGAAGAGAGATAGCACAAAGAATACTCATCAGCTGAAGAACTTACAGTGAGAACAAGTCCAGCAGTAACAGCCACAGTTGCTAAGGAAGCCACGGTGACCCTGTGGAAGGTCCCCAGGAATTCCTGGGTGCCTTTAGCACCTTACAGTCAGAGATGGGCGTACACACTGCCCCTGGGATCTACTGGTCTTTCCTACAGAGCAATCACTAACACGTAGGGGTGGTACTTGCCACAGCACTGAAGGAATTTTGGATAGATGAAGGCATTAGAAACTGTCCCAGGGCAACCTGGGAATTACTGTAGATTGCTTGGAAGGGGTCACTTTGACCTACTTGGGGTGCCTGGGAGTCTATGCATCCTCAACTCTCCAAGCCCTGAAACACATGTACAGCCAAAATAGACCAGGGCAGCCCTGCCCCTGCCCCTCTGGTCCTTACCTCCACACATCACTGCCTTTGGAAAACATAGAGGCACGAATGACTTCGGGCGCCATCCAAGCGTACGTCCCTGCTGCGCTCATCTTTGTGGTTCGGTGCCATTCTCGAGCCAGGCCGAAATCAGTGATCTTCAGAATCTTGTTGCTCAGGTCTCCATTCTCCACTTTCTGGAGGATCAATACTGGGCAAGAAAAGGAACACAGAAGAAACCAGAAAGTCTGCATTAATCACAGGGAAAGCACCAAATACAGAGCCCTCCTGCCAGACTCTTATCCTCTCCTTTAGGCTCCACTGTGCAGCTACCACGGACTGATGGTAGGAACCATCGTTTTTGCTAAGATGTACCTACGATGCATCCATTTTTGTGCCAAGTCCTTTATAGGCATTGTCTTTAGCTCACAACAACCTTATGAGGTAGGTACCATTGCCATATCCTTTTTACAAGATGAGGAAACTGAGATACAGCACTAACTAATACTCCAGGACTGACATAGGCAGCCTGACTCAAGACCCTTCTCTCTTAACCTTCACGGCACACAACCCATTGTTACCCTATGGAGGGAGCCATGAGGTCTTGGCAGCTGACCCTTCTGAGAGTGGCTCCTTGGGCTTCCTGTCTGCCCAGCCACCTCTGGGCCATACTCACTCTCAGACCACAAGGAATGGAGGTGCATAGTGGATTTTTAAGGTTTCAGACAGCGCCTGCAGTTTCCATGAACCTCTCCAAGTTACTTAAGTTTGTAAGAAAGCATGTCTTTTGGGCACAGAGATTTTTCCCTTGATCCAGGAACAGGCCCCCACCCCCACAAACCACCGCCAGCCACTGAGAACTGGCTGACAAGTTGGAGAAGTCAGAGGGTACACGCATGTTCACAGCCATGAATCTCTCTGTGTGTATGACCCAGGAAGAAAAAACTGGTGCACTGAACCAGTAATACTCTGGGCCTGTCTCCCAAGTTCTAGCACCACAGTGTGGCACCATCTTGGCTCTCCTAGGACAGTAGCTGGGGCAGCCACTTCACCTACATGATGGTTCCAGTGGTCTGCATCCCCTTGCAGGAGTCAATCTTCGTAAAAAGGGCAAACATGCTAAGGGGCAACTGGGTGGCTCAGTCGGTTAAGTAGTTCAGGTCATGATCTCATGGTTCATGAGTTCAAGCCCTGCATTGGGCTCTGTGCTGACAGCTCAGAGCCTGGAGCCCGCTTGGGATTCTGTGTCTCCCTCTCTCTCTACCCCTCCCTCAGTGGCACTTTATCTCTCTCTCTCAAAAATAAATTAAAAAACAAAAAAAAGAGCAAACACGCTAAGTGACTGAAGTGCCATACGCCAAGCTGAGAAGCTCTGAGTGGGCAGCTGGGTAGCGTGCGAGCCAGGCCTCCATTTCCACAAGTAGGAAGGCTCTGAAGACCCCACAGAAGCACAGCTCCTTCTGGGCCAGCCACTGAACACCTGGGATTCAGAGTTCTACACTCAAGATTTCAGAGAAGGAAGGAAGGGTCTCTTCCCATTCCTGCTCTTCAAGTACAAATGGGGAGGGTGAGGAAAGGAATCCACTGAAGACAGAATAACAACTAAAAAAGGTTGACTCAGTTCCTCCAGCCACTCTGTCTAGGTAAACAGTGAAAAACATGGGCTCTGAGCCCTACAGTATTGGGATACACCCTCCCACGGCTGACTCTCCAGTGACTCCAGCTGAGGGCCTCTTCAGAAGGCTTCACCTTTACCTCTGAGAGGCATTTGCAATTTACGATTCTTTGAGAGCTCAAACTCCTTCAATAACAGGATGTGTGATGGTGGTACTTTGGGTGCCAAGGGTTTAGGGGTCCCTTTGAGGGCACAGGAGCCTTAGGCAGTTCCCTCAAGTCACACAACTATACTTTTTCTCATCCTGCCCCGAGCTTGCAAATGCCCACTAGATTATTACCTATTGGAAGGATGTGGGCCAAAGATCTCTATGTCCTACGTGCTTCTCAGAAAATCAGCAGCAAAGAGGGATTACAGGCAGCTATTAAGCTGGAAGCACAAAGGAAAACAGCCCCTCCCTAGATCTAATGGAGAGGTCTCCTTCCTCCACACCCTCTCCCGGACTCCCCTGACACACCCCTCCTGGCTCTAAGCTGAATGGATCAGAGTCTCTAAATGCTTGGTAGATGTAAAAAAAAACTTTCTCCATCTCCTCGAATAACAAAAATCTTTCCAGATTCTTCTGTGCCCCTCTCCCCCTCTCTGCTGGCAGATATAACAAAATATGCACTCAAATTGCCACTGGCACTAAAGAAACCCACCATCCCCTGTACAGAGGCAGCCACCAGCTGCTGACCATCTCTCTCTAAGCCACCCTTAAACCAAAGATGCAGAGTGAACCCATCCCCTGACACAACTGATGGGATTTAGTCTGATCTCCCCAAACTCCAGGTGCAGGGACAGGGTGAGTGGGAGGAGGGTAACCATCTGATGATGCATCCAGAACCAGCTGAGCTTCCTCAGATTCTATGCTGGAAGGGGAAGCGAAGAAGTTTAGGTTCTGTTATAGGACATGGGTTTGGAGAGAATGAATGGTACAGCGAAGATGACATTTAAATACATTAGCCAGCCAGATGGCTCAACAGGGATGGAGAGTGATGGAGATGGGGCAAGAATCTGCCCAGGAGAGGTCTGCCTGAATATGAATACTTTTAGACAGTGCAGGTCCAGCCCAGTTCCACCTAATCCCCACCACGCCCTGCTGCCTTCTCTCCAGCTGACCTCAGACACGTATCCCCATAGGTTGGACCTGTGAAGGCATCAGAGTTAGAAATTCCCGGCCTTGGGGTCCTGACCTCAGCAAAGAGGAGACGTAATTAGACACCAGCTAGTGATCCTGGCTACACCTCTCTCTCTTTATCTAGTTCCAGAACATTTCTCATCACCTCCAAAAGGAAATCCATATTCATCAAGCAATTATTCCCCCTTCTCCCCTCCACCCGACTCCTAGCAGCCACCAATCTGCTCTCTCTCTATGCATTTACCTATTATGGATATGTTATATAAATGGAGCCATGCAATATATGACACACTCAGAATAATGTTCTCAAGGTCCATCCATCTTATAGCTTGTATCTGCATTGCATTCCTTTTTATGGTTGAATAATATTCCACTGCATAGATATACCATTTGCTTATCTATCTATCCACAATAGACATTTGAGCTGTTTCAACCTTTTGATTATTGTGATATAGTAATACACACATATGTACATATATTCATTTGTTTTCAGTCCTTTGGGATATGTACTTAGGAGTGGAATAATAGTTATAACGGTAGCTCTATGTTGCTGTTTTCCACAGTGGCTGTGCCATTTTATTTTTCTTAATTTTTTTATTTTTAATTTTGGAGAGAGAGAACACGCATGAGTGGGGGAGAGTGGCAGAGGGAGAGAGAAAGAGAATCTGGGGTGGAGCCTGGTATGGGGCTCAATCCCATGACCCTGGGATCATGGGCCTCAATCAAGAATCAGACTCAAACAAAAAAGAATCAGACACAAACAACAGAGCCACCCAGGTGCCCCCTCAAAAAAATTTTAGCTGCATCATTTTGCATCCCCATCAGCAATGTATGAGGGTTCCAATTTTCCCACGGTTATTTTCCTTTTATTTAATTTTTTTAGATGACAGCCATCCTAGCAGATGTGGACTGCTATCTCATTGTGGCTTTACCTTGCATTTCTCTAATGACTAATGATGCTGAGCATCTTTTCACATGCTTCTTTGCTGTCTGTATATCTTCTTTCAAGCAATGTCTTTTGGGGGCACCTGGGTGGCTCAGTTGGTTAAGTGTCCAACTCTTGATTTCAGCTCAGGCCGTGATCTCACAGTTCATGAGATTGAGTCCCATGTTGGGCTGTGGACTGACAGTGCGGAGCCTGCTTGGGATTCTCTCTCCCTCTCTCTCTGCCCCTCCCCTGCTCATATGCTCACTCTCTGTCTCTCAAAAATAAATAAATATTAAAAAAGAAATGGTGTTTTGTTTTGAGTTATAAGACTTCTTTCTATATTCTGGATACTAAACCCTTATCAAATATATGATTTGCAAATATTTCCCCCCTGTCTGCAGGCTGTCTTTTTAATTCCTTGACAACGTCCATGGATCCACAAAGCTTTTACTTTGGATGAAGTCCACTTTTATCTTTTCTTATTTTGTTGGTCATGCATTTGGTGTAACATCAATAATTCCATTGCCAAATCAAAGTTTATAAAGATTTACTTGTATGTTTTAAGAGTTTTGGGGCACCTGGGTGGCTCAGTCAGTTAAGCGTCCAACTTCGGCTCAGATCATGATCTCGTGGTCTGTGGGTTCAAGCCCCGCATTGGGCTCTGTGCTGACAGCTCAGAGCCTGGAGCCTGTTTCAGATTCTGTGTCTCCCTCTCTCTCTGCCTCTCCCCAGCTCGTGCTCTGTCTCTCTCCATCTCAAAAATAAATAAATGTTAAAAAAAAAGAATTTTACAGGTTCAGCTCTTAAATTTAGGTCATTGATCCATTCTTACTCCATTTTTGTATATCATATAAGGGTGTCCAACTTCATTTGTTTGCATGTGGATATCTAATTATCTCATTTGTTAAAGAAAAAGGCTTTACTTTTCAAACAGAATGGAGTAGTTCCCTCCCAAAATGCTTTCCCAGGGAGAGAAAGGTTATAATCACAGCTACTCACTTAACTGTACCTCTGAAGTTAGACCATTCTGAGTTTCTACCACTGACAAACACCTACAGAACTAACAAATTTGTGCTTTACTTCTTAGAAAATTTGGGAATGTTTTATCAAAATCTACTGAAGTCCATCCAAGTGTACTGTGTAGACCTCACCCCTCACAGCTAAGGGCAGTGGTACAGATGCTATAATCAACAAGTCCAGGCCCAAGTCAGTGGAGGTGCCGGCCAGGGGAAGGGGATCACAGGGAAAAGGTGCATCTGAACCAAAAACCTACTGACTAGCCAAATATAGAGGCTTAATGGAGAAGGGGGTTTTCCCATCTTTCAGACATGAGGGACAAGTAGAAGAGTGATGTTGCGGACTGAGGTTGAGAGGCAAGGCCCTTTGAGGCAGCCAAGTACAGTTTGGGAAACATAATGGGTAATGGTGACAGTAACAAGAGTCAGTATGGATTTAAAAACCAAACAAACAAACAAACAAACTTACGCA